CACTGAGCAAACCGTGCTGCTTTCTTTTACCAGTCAAAACCGGATGCACCAGTCAGTCCCGACTATTGCGAGATGATACACGGCCATCATGCTTACTGCCATGCCTTCTTTCTAGCTAATTGTCTCAGGGCTACAAGATTGTAACTTGTAAGGGTTTGGGGCAGCATAAAATAATCTAATACCGTTTTATTACTGTTCTAACAAAGTGAGCTGGTTTTATTTGTGATAATTATTTGAGCGAAAATACCTAACTAATTATAGTCAGCTCACAGGCTTTGAAGGTGTTATATAACGACTGGAGGACGCACCAGCCGACTGAAATTTTTGTCAGCTACAGTCCTAGACCCATCGCTGTTCAAAAGGATTCCCCAGCCAGTGCAGTCCTTGACCTACGCTAATTCCGTTTCATCTTGTCACTCATGACCCCTGGACCAAACAGCCAGATCTAGAGCCCAAAACTAGCAAGTCCCGATCCGTGCTCATCAGTCGGTATGTGGGCAAATCGGTTACACCCGTTCTTAAAAACATCGACCCTTTTCAGTCAGCTCCTCAGGTCCAACAACCGTCGCCGTGCCCTCAGCCGCAGTCTGCAGTGTCAGGCGGCCCATCAACCCCTCAGCTGCGGTCTCGGCTCACCCCTCACCCTCAGCTGCGGTGTCAGACAGCTCCGGGCTCACCCATGCCCTCCAGCTGCGGTCTCTGAGGGTCTCGGCCCACTGCTACATCCTCAGCTGCACCCGCGGCCCACCACCCCTCACCCTCAGCTGCGCCGGCGGCCCACCACCCCTCACCCTCAGCTGCTCCCGCGGCCCACCACCCTCACCCTCAGCTGCTCCCGCGGCCCACCACCCCTCACCCTCAGCTGCACCGGCGGCCCACCACCCCCTCACCCTCAGCTGCGCCCGCGGCCCACCACCCTTCACCCTCAGCTGCTCCCGCGGCCCACCACCCCTCACCCTCAGCTGCACCGGCGGCCCACCACCCCCTCACCCTCAGCTGCGCCGGCGGCCCACCACCCCCTCACCCTCAGCTGCTCCCGCGGCCGCACTACCCCCTCACCCTCAGCTGCGGCCGCGGCGCTGACCACCGTTCGGCGGCAGTTCCGGCGCGGCCACCGCGCCACCATCATCATTTCTCAGCGGCGGCGATCGGCGCGTCGTGGCGCAGACGAATGCGACGCTCCCAGCGGCACCGGCGACGAATGCGGCGCGCGACAGCGGCCCTGCCCGGCTGATAGATGAGCGTCGATGGTGGTGCAGCGCGCGCGCCGATATTGCCGCCGTACACGTACACCGCGCCACTATATTGCAGACGTTTCATAACAGCCCATCAGAATGGATCTCGCTCACCGGGTGTGCATGAGTCGTGATTGTAATTTGCAGCAGGGGTGTCAGGTGATATGTAACGGGAAATGCCAATACTCTTCTATTTGTTGTGCCTATTTCTTATTTTTCCAGTATAAGTACCTACTTGGTAAATGCTGCTGAGTGACACCATGACATCAGTTAATTTTTTTTTACTCTACGATACAATTTGTAACTTTTAATTAGTTTAAATTCCAGCAAACTTAAAAAGCAAGGGCCGAACGATTTTTATGGGCATCCTTGATCCTGCTGCACAGAATACACATTTCTATCTGAATATCAAAACACTGCCTGTTGATATACCCAATTCTCCTGAATTGCTTCACCATAGACGTTTTCGTCTAGAGTCTGTATCAAAACACATAACAAAGGAAACTGAAAAAGCGGATATCAACTGTCATCTGTTCTTTCAACTCTTTCAGGAAGGTCCAGCACGCTTGAAGTTTGTGGCTCGCTTGGACTTATGAATATGGTTGGTCACAAAGATCCCAAAACTGTCCATCTGAATGGGAAAGAGAGGAAACAAAATGCAGAATATGTTTGCATTAGGTAATTGTCTATCTCTAGTGTTTTAACGTCTGCTGATTAAAGGTTGCTGATTAAAGGTTAAGCGAGAACCGATGCAATGCGTTTGTCAACATTTCAAATGCCTCAATTTTAAAGTAAGATTTACATAGATCTTATCTAAAAATGAACAACGTTATGGGCGTTCCATTGGATGATATAGCTCTCCCTATCCCCCTCCACTCTCTCTCTCTCTCTCTCTCTCTCTCTCTCTCTCTCTCTCTCTCTCTCTCTCTCTCTCTCTCTCTCTCTCTCTCTCTCTCTCTCTCTCTCTCTCTCTCTCTCTCTCTCTCTCTCTCTCTCTCTTTCTCTTTCTCTTTCTCTCCCCCTCTACGTAGCCATCACAGCGAGACGCCAATGTGCTGTGCGAGATTACCTTTTGTGTCCTTCTATGGCGACTGGAGGCCTGACCCGTGCTCGACCCGCCTGCGACCTTCGATACAGGCGGCCCATCGGCTCACCGCACAATATCCGGTCATTTGCATCAATTCCTTTCGCCGGAGACCACGGCAAACACAGCCTGGTGCCAATGATCGGTCTGGCTCGCTCCTCACCTTCTGCCTTTGTGTGAGGCGTTGTATACAAGCCGATAGGAGCGCCGAAAGAGACTCATTGGTCGGCTCGGCCGGCACCTGCGACATCCAATCTACTCGGCTCGGGAACAAATCACCTCCAGTGTTATTTGATTACTGGGCCCGGGACAGAAGGCTATAGCGTGTCTTCACATTCTATGTGACAATGCCTGCCGTCCGAGTGTCCAGCGCTACTCTCTGCGCTGCGCAGCATTAGTTTCTTACACCAACTGAAACGCAGAGCATACTATAGACCTCCTTTTATCTCTATCTGATCCTTCACTGCACCACGAGTCTATGCTGACCCGCCGCTGAGCCGGCCGTCGAGCTTACAGAGTCTACAAGACGCTCTGCCGAGGTATCGGACGGCAGCCGCTGCGATAGCTCTGCCAGGAGTCAGCGTTTCAGCGCACGCAGCCGAGCGGAAATATGCACATCGGCCCGGACTGTTTGTTTTCAATTCGCCGGAAATATCAGATAAAAACTCGGCCTCGTGTTTTTCGCGCAGCGGCAGATGCATATCGGACTAATATCGAACGCCGGATGAATGCGAATCGCTCTAAATGGGACAATTTGTCATGCTGACTCTCGTAAAGCAGCTCCAGAAATCCAGCTGCGCGCCCTACCGCTCGCCCCGCCACTGTAGATTGCTAAGATATCCTGACTTTTGCCCGTGCGAACTGCTCGTCGGCTGGCCATAAAAAGCTACGTATACCTATATGAAACAGATTTTGGTTTACAGGTCCGCAGTAGTATGGCCTGAAAACACTGTCTCGTTTTGTTAACATCATGTTTGAAGAATGCACGTAATTAAGAGACTACGATTATTTAATTTCATTTAAACATTTCAGTTCAGGGCATATTTTAAGGCACTTACTGCGTCCCATTCTGGGACGCAGCCCCTCGCCTTGGGACGTAGCCCCTGCTGATTTGACCCACTGCGTCCCTGCCCTGTGCCCTGTCCGGTTCCCTGACCTGTGCCCTGCTGTGTGCGCTGACCTGTACCCTTCCCTCTAAAATGTCCTGTGTCATGCCCTGTAACCTGCCGTGTCCTACTTTCTGCCCTCCTCAGTGCCCTAATCTGTTCCTTGCCCTGTGTCCTTAGTCGTAGCACGTGCCCTCTGCTCAACTTTGGGACGCAGTAAAAATTTGTTAAAATATGGCCTGTTTCAGTTAATCTAAGCCTATTGAAGCATCTTTTAAGCGCATATGTAATATGAAACCTATAAAGAAAAATGTTATGTTGTCTCGGCAAACATAAGCCGCAGCCCCTTCTTATTCGGTGATGATGCGATCCCCGTTTTTTTTTTTTTTGCAACGGGGCTTAGAGTTATCCGCTTTTAGATATGTGCACGAGTTGTTATCTAAGCTGAGGATTATAGCGTGAATACTTTGTCTCGTTTGAATGCTTTAAACAAAAGCCTACATTAATCTGATTTTTATTCGCCACAGACAAAAATAAATTCTAAAACTCACCTCACTCGAAGTATTTTTACACTTGTTCTCTCGGCAGCGCATTAACCATGCTCTGTCGGCAGCTACATGGATCCACCACGGCTCTACAGTTCCGACGACAGCATTCCTGCAGCCGGATGGATGGGTGTCACCGCTGCTGCAGAGGTGACTTTCATCTGACCTTTTTATCCGGGCGCGTCACTGACTTTTATCTCCACCCGTGCTGTCTTTGTCGGTGTCTTTGTCCGCCATTTTCTCATCTCCTGTGTCGTTGAGCCAGTATTGCTATCAAACCAGGCTCAGCGCAGTTTGAAGCAGTTTTCAAATGATCAGTTCTGTATATTATGTGTATGATGTAGCCTCCAGCTGAAAACTCGACACTGTTAGACGCATGGCTTACGGGTTACTTACACGAGAAGTTTTTGAAGTGATGAGAAGTTACTGAGATAAAAGTTATCAGATTTCACGATTTACCTTTGTTAACCATTTGTTATACCTTTGTTATCCATTAAAACCCTTTCCGCTGCTGATTCACTTGTCTTGTAGTTTCTTATGTCACCTGTCGCCCAGTCCTTTTGTAAGCCTCCGGGCTATTTTACTTTTTATTCTGCTGATCATTTGATGGGCCTTTTCAGTAACCAGATTTATCAGCTCTTAGGCTTTTGATATTCAGCGATCAGTGCTGTGGTTATGTTGTGACTGCCATCCCGATAACTGCGTTTGGCGATCAGCTGCGGCGCTATTTGTTGGCCGTTTTTATGGCCGTTTCGGAGGCCGGCGGCGGCGGTCCGTGCAGCGGACCGGTGCGGTCGGCTCACGGTCGGCCTGGCAGAGCTCGAGCCGTCTGCAGCTGCACCTCTGTCCGGGTCGGTGGCGGCGGCCGGCGCCGTCCCATCGGCCGCGAATGGCCGGCGAAATACGGCCTGCAGCCGTCATATTCGGGCCGAGTTAGCGGCGCCGGCGGTCGGCGGCGGCCGGAGGCTGGCCGCGCGGCGCCTGCGCCCCCTCCGCCGCTCTCGGACATCGATCGGACGTGCAGCGGCAGTCGGCCGGGCCGCCTCCGCCAGCCAGCATGGCGAGCAGCTAGTGCACACCATGTCGGACACGCCGGCCACATCCCATCTCGGCGCCCTCTTCTGCTGCGTCCTCCTCTGTCTTCCAAAAGGTGAGCAGACTGCAGCGACTGGCCGTGGGCTCCGGCAGGGGCGGTTCGGCTGCACTTCAGGAAGCAGAGCACGCCTCTGTGGAGTACGCGCGAGTCGCGACCACCGTCCCGCGTCAACCACTGACCTCGATTCATTTTTTGGTCACTGGGTCTCACAGAAATTGGAGCGCGGCGCGACACCGGAACTGTCCCCAATCTCGGTATGGCTTTGGGTGGTGTCACTTCGTTTTTCGTGGGAGGTAGCAAACGTTTTTGGCCGTTGAGAGGCGTTATTTTAGCGCAGAGAACAGCTTTTCTCCGGCGGCCGTCGAACAAAGAGGGTCGGCTGACAGTGATAGATGACTGCCCATTGGCGGCTGGGAAACCCCTACCGGCATCAAACGCTGTCACGGGGCGACGGAAACCCATCTGCACTCAGCCCGATTCTAGGAACGCACCACGATTTCCGAGATTCGTGCTCAACCCAGCTGAGAGAGATCTGCTTTTAATAGCTCCCTTTTGGGGCACCTGTCAATGCGCGTGATTTCGGGGAAGACCATATGAAGTTTGTGACACAGATCGGGGAGTGAGAGCCGAGAGGAATGATCATTCTGAAGAGAGAAACCGACGAAGAGCAGAGTAATGTCGGATGTTTCGAGCTAGCTCACCTGAGCAATCGAAGACAGTTCAAGGAAAACTGCAATCTGATACCAATTTATGAAAAGTGTTGAGTGTTTATGGGTTGAACGGACAAAATGATAGCATTTACATCAGCATGTAGGATAAATATAAGTGCCCGAATGAACCAGCTGCATGTTTCGGAAACGTTCATCAAAGAGATCCATTCATTGAAACCGTGAAACTAATGAACTATGAGCGACAATAATAGTTGGTAGGACATTCTGTTAGGTCGAATATTTGCCGTAGTATGTTTTGAGCGAGTAACAAAATTTTGTTTTGAGCGATTTATTTGGTCAATATAATGTTTACTCAATTATTTCAATAATTTCCTTGCGCTATGTCTTAGCAGCATACCTACCTGAGAACTGGCCACCATCTATGCGTGAACACAGATGAGCAGACCGACACTGGTCTGCGGCCCATTTCACGTGTGCAACTGCAGCCGAGTTCCGGTTGCTGGCGGCCCGCTGGCCCAGTCAGTCTGCGGGCGACCTTCGGCGGCCCGGCCGACACCATGTCGGCCATCCCGGCAAATGACACCGCTCCGGCGGCCGTCCGTCTCCGGTATCGGCCAGCGGGATCGGTTCGCAGCGCCGCCGGCGACGCGGCTGTAACCGGCCCTGTTCCATCAGCCACTAAAGAGAGTCGCCCAGGACCGAGACGGCGTACCGCCCCGAACAGCCACCGAGCGGCTCTCTCAGACGGTGACATGGGACAATTTCAGCGCCTGTCAGAAACCGCTTGATTGTCGGAGAGGAGATGTGGCGGGATCGGGTGCTGGAAAGTCATACCCACCGGTCCTTTATTCAGAAATGGAATGGGTGGCTCTTCAGAAGTGATGTGCCCGGTTGCTCGTTTACGAGAAATACCGCATCTGGTGCCCTGAAGTAGAGAGACCACTTAAATATTTTGTACTGAATACGGGCTGTTTGTTTGAACGAACGCACAGACAGCTTTTGTTTTCTATTTGTTCCCACTCACCGGATTTCTAAGAGTAGTCGAGATATTAATGATTGTTCCAGTGGCATCTGTATCGAATGAAAATTATTATAACAACAGCAAGACACCTGAACTTAATGAATAAATAGAAGGATGAAGGCACGCGATTTCATATGCCTATACCAGCAATATTGCATTGTTATTCATTATATTGATGCTTGCTAGAGTAGGTTTTGCATAAATGCTTGATGAGCTCGGGTCCGGAGAGGGCCCACTAACTGGCGTCTGGCCTCAATGTGTCGCCACCGCCGGCGGCATCTCTATCTGACGGGATCAGCTCCCCTACTAACCGTGTTAGCACGAGGAGCGCTCCATCAGCGGCCGACACGGCTACATACGCGGCTCGGCGGGCCGCGGAGACCGACCCGGGGCAGTCACAGTGACAACAACTCCTCGTCGTCTTCTGCATCTTAATCTGCTCCTCAGCCCTTCCTCGACCTCGCTCTCCTCAGCCCTTCCTCACTTTCCTCCTACTCCACTCTTCTCCCTTTCGTCATCTTTCTTCTCATCCTCTCATCCCTCTTTATTCTGCTTTTCTTTTTCCTCATTTCTGCCTTTCTTCTCCTTTTTCCCTCTTATTGAATTCATGTCTGCATCAACGGATCAACATCAAGAGTGTTCCAATGGCGTACCAGTTGTAGGCTCGCTTACTTCCCTTATCTTCTTCCTTTCATCATCCACTTCCTTCCTTTACCCTTCTCGGCGCCATTTTCCTCTCCTATTCGCCTTCCTTTTCATTCTCCGGCCGTCATCAAATCAGAGAGCACGAAATGGCCGGGTGGCTTACGGCTTTAATTAAATCGGGCGATGCCGGTTTGTTTACGGCTCACCCAGAGCGGGGTTATTGACGGGTCGCTTGCTCGGAAGGGTTTGCTGACGGGTCGCTCGGTGGGACAGGCGACTGACGGTAGTGCGGATGGTTGCTGTGTTGACCGGCCGTCAGCCGTCAGCAGCTCGGGCCGACCGGACATTGGATCGGGAGTCGGCTCTGTCCACCGTCCAGCCTGACAACAGACTCGCAGTGGCTGCCAGCCAGCTGGTCGGGGAGGGGCTGATACATCAGACCGCTGGAGCGTGCTTGATTTAAACAATTTTGCTAGGGATGTATTCAAACGACTGCCTTTTATGGTGATTGGTCCGAAGTTCGGCGCTTGAATGCCACTGTTGTTGACTTAGCCGCGGCGCTGGGCCGGTTGATGAGATTCCTGATGCCAGCGCGCCAGATCAGGTTATCTCGGGTCTCTCTGGCACACGGGACCAGAGGGATTCTCCTCTAGCGATACTGAGACGCAATCTGCATGCCAGCTAGGCTCTCGTATTTCGCTTAATGGCATTCATGTTATGTGAGACAATAGCAATACCATTGCTGGAAAGGGGAGTGACTTTTGCAGACAGCTTATAAAAAAGTAGCCTACATAACATGAAATGAGCGGATAGTCTTTTCCCAAGATAGTGCCTGTGTCAACTTTTATCATTCAGAGCACGAATTAAGATGATTTCACGAAGCTTATGAAACGAGTATCGCGCAGTTATTTGTATTTGGTTCAATTGCCATTTTCTTTGCGTTCATTAAGTATTTTTAAACCCTTATTATTTTCGTTGTAAACATTCAAATTATTTTTGACAGTTAATTCATTGACGTTTGACAGTTGATGGGTATGATAGAGAAGTAATTATAGATGCAAGAGCAAAAACTCCTGATATCCTACAAAAGTACAGATAACTAAAGCAAAATAGCAATGAGATGAGTCGGTAGTATGCTTGGAATACGTAGAGTAGTAGTCATTTCCGTGGTAGTGGCCCGTAAAACCTTTGCAATCGGATATTTATTTTTTACTTGGGATCACATAAAATGGAGTTAGCGTTGATGTTTACCGGATGAGCGTCAGTCGCTTGATATTCATGAGCTACTTCCGAGGTCGAAGCGTCCATGAAGATTATATTACGCTATTCAGGACATTTACTGCAAGTCATAGCAGTTCTCTTTCTTGGTTTCGGTCGCAGGGAAGTGGTGGCGTAAGATTACCGTTTTGTCGCCATACGAGCTATATCAGGACAACACAACTTCTAACCATTCCCACTCGTCGGTGTCCATTGTCCATGATTGCTCAATGTCATGCCATCTATCAAATATTGTCATCAAATAATATACTAATGCGTACCAGACATCGGCAAAAGTGACAGACACTAATTTGTTGCTTTGAGCATTAAATGCACATATCATTTCACCCTTTTTCGATTTGTTTTTTTCCTAATTGCATAGGATTCCTGCGTATGGCATATAATCCTTAACCCTCGCCGGCACAGGGGGGGTGATGCAACCCCCCTAAGGTTTTTCGCGAATAACTCGCGTAACAAGCGGACGATCGCGACGAAACTTTCAGTACCCTCGCATTGATCAATTTTACACCTACCCTGAAAATTTCATGACCCTGACCCCAATGACCTTTGACCTGTGACCTCTTTTCTGTGACCATGTTTGGCCGAAATCGCGGTTCGGCGCATGTCGGCTCGCATTAGCCGCGCGTTTGCAAGCTTTTCGTGGTTTCAAACGTTCAAACATGTGATTTGATGTTGCTCCCATGCATTAGGGTGGGTGTCAAGGTCACCTGAAGGTCAGGTCAGGTCATTGACCTTTGGTGACCTCGGGTGACCTCGGTTCACTTTTTCGAGTTTTACATGTTTCTAGGCTAGTTTTTGGAGCTGAATTCAAATTTAGCAACCATTTGAACATTTACGAAGTGGTTTTGGTGCCTTCGTAACATGTAACGAAGCTGTCCGAGGTGGTTGACACGTATTACGAATACCCGTCACAGCCCCTACCGGTTGACCTGACCTGACCTGACCCGACCTGGTCTAAATGCTTAAAGACATCATCTATGATCAAAACTAACACGATATTCGTGATCAGCACCCCGGTAAACCACATAGCAGCCACACTTTACGACTTTCTAACAGGTCCCGATTTTCCCGATTTTTGGGTCATTGACCTGACCTGGAAGGTCACCCGATGACCTAGGACCTTAAAATAGGGTATCATCGGCTTCCTTTCGTGACGGGCAACACGCTCGTTTTTTCCGCGAAGCTCTAGCTCGATCAGGGGCCAAACGCGAGGGGGGGGGGTCGTACCAGCCCCCCCCCCCCTTGTGCCGACGAAGGACTCAAAATGGCCTGTGCCGGCGAGGGTTAAAACTATACCTTTCTAAGATGCATTCACAAAAAAACTGTTTCAAGATAGCCTCGTTTATATTCATTAAATTCGCTGTAATAGCTATACTCGCACTGGATGCCGCCATGCTTCTACTGAATTGCAGAAAATCAATAAGATGATTGAGCCACTT